CTACAGGCGTGCGCCACCATGCCCAGCTAATTTTTTGTATTTTTAGTAGAGACGGGGTTTCACCAAGTTGACCAGGATGGTCTCGATGTCTTGACCTCGTGATCCGCCCGCCTCGGCCTCCCAAAGTGCTGGGATTACAGGCTTGAGCCACTGCGCCCGGCCAGTCTGTGTTTTTATATATACAAAGCTGAGATTAATGGATATCTTCAAATTAAGTAGAGTGAAACTCAGTAAGAAATCACTAAAAGGGAAGACAAAACAAAAAGCTGCAGAACAAATAAATTTAGGTTATTTTCATTAGCTGCTCATATCAGTAGGGAAAAGATAGATTCAGTCAAAATATATTTTTGGAAAAAGAAAGCAAACCACCTGGAAGAAAAAATATAAAATGGGATTTTTCCTCATACCTTATCTAGAATAAATTCCTAATGGATCAAATATTTAAATTCAAACATTGATACATTGGAAGTAATGGGAGAGCTGTTCATAATCTTGAAGTAGAAAAGGGTTTTCTAAGTATGCTTACAAGAAATTCATATCAGTAGCCTACAAGTAAAAAGATGGAAAGGTATATCATGAAAGCACTAATCAAAAGATAGAGGGCCAGGTGCTCATGCCTGCAATCCCAGCACTTTAGAAGGCTGAAAAGGGCCCATGGCTTGAGCCCAGGAGTTTGAGACCAGCCTGGGCAAAATGACAAAACCCTATCTCTACAAAAAATACACAAATTATCTGGGCATTGTGGAGCACACTGTGGTCTCAGCTACTCAGGAAACTGAGGCCAGAGGACCACTTGAGCATGGGAGTTTGAGGCTGTAGTGAGCTGTGATTGCACCACTGCACTCCAGTCTGGGCAACAAAGTGAGACCCTGTCTTCAGAAAAAAAAAAAAAAAAAGGAAAAAATAGCTGGAGTGGTTATATTAATGTCAGACCAATTATACTCCAGAGCAAAGGTAATTCCCAGGAATAAAGAAGGGCATTATATAATAATAAAAAGGTTCAAATCACCAAGAAGATATAATATTCCTACATATGTATACACCTAGCAAAAGAGTTTCAAAATACTAAGGGACTTCAAAAAGTTTGTGCGAAAATATAATTAAAAGATAAAAATAAAAACGATAAACTTTATTTCTCAACATAAGCTCCATCAAGTTCAATACGCTTCTGTAAGCAATGATACCAGTCATTTAGTACATGTCTAAACCGAGCACGTTTTCTTTCTTTTTTTTTTTTGAGACAGAGTCTCTCTGTCATCCAGGCTGGAGTGCAATGGCCCAGTCTCAGCTCACTGCAACCTTTGCCTCCTGGATTCAAGTTATTCTCCTGCCTCAGCCTCCCAAGTAGCTGGGATTTCAGGCACCTGCCACCCCACCTGGCTAATTTTTGTATTTTTAGTAAAGACAGGGTTTCACCATGTTGGCCAGGCTGGTCTCCAACTCCTGACCTCGTGATCCGCCCACCTCAACCTCCCAAAGTGCTGGGATTACAGGTGTGAGCCACTTTGCAGAGCCAAAAAGAGCATCTTTTAAAGATTTTTTTATTTATTTTATTTATTTTTTATTTTTTATTGCATTTTAGGTTTTGGGGTACATGTGAAGAACATGCAAAATAGTTGCATAGGTACACACGTGGCAGTGTGAGTTGCTGCCTTCCTCCCCTTCACCAAGGTTTTTTTTTTAAGATTAGGAAACAAAAAGAAGTCTGAAAGAGCCAAATCGGGACTGCATGGTGGATGCCTAATGATTTCCCATCAAAACTCTCTCAAAATCGCCTTTGTTTGATGAGAGGACTGAACAGGGGCACTGTTTAGATGAAGCTTTCCTGGGTGTTTTTCTGCTTAAGCTTTGGCTAACTTCCTCAAAACACTCTCATAATAAACAGATGTTATTTTTCTTTAGCTCTCCAGAAAGTCAAACAAGCAAAATGCCTTAGCAGACCAAAAAACTGTTTCCATGACCTTTGCTCTTGACCTGTCTACTTTTCCTTTGACTGGACCACTGCCACCTCTTGGTGGTCATTGCTGTGACCGTACTTTGTCTTCAGGATCGTACTGGTAAAGCCATGTTTCATTTTATAATTCTTCAAAGAAAGGCTTCAGGATCTTCATCTCACTTGTTTAAAATTTCCATTGAAAGTTCTGCTCTTTATCTGCTGCCGATCTGGGCACAACAGTTTTAGTATCCATCGAGTGGATAGTTGGCTCAACTTTAATTTTTCAGTCAGAATTGTGTAAACTGAACTAGTTGAGATGTGTATGGTGTTGGCTATTGTTTCTGCTGTTAATCATCAGTCCTCTTCAAGTAAGGCACAAACAAGTTGAATCTTTTCCTCACAAATTGATGTGGATGGTCTGCTGCTGTGAGATTCATCTCCAACACTGTCTCATCCATTTTTTTTTTTTTTTGAGACAGGGTTTCACTCTGTCACTTGACCCCCTGGCACTGCACAGGGTGGAGTGCAGTTTTTGTAATCACAACTCACTGCAGCCTCGCCCTCCCAGGCTCGCGTGATCCTCCCAATTCAGTCTCCTGTGTAGCTGGGATTAGAGGTGCACTCCACCACACCTGGCTAGTTTTAAAATTTTTTGTAGAGATGGAGTCTTGCTATGTTGCCTAGGCTAGTCTCAAACTTCTGGGCTCAAGCCATCTTCCCTCCTTGGCCATCAAAGTGCTGGGATTATAGATGTGAGCCACCACACCCGGCCTTCATCCTTCTTAAAACAGGTTATCCATTTGTAAACTGCTGATTTATTTATTTCTCTTTCTTTTCCTTCCTTCCTTCCTTCCTTCCTTCCTTCCTTCCTTCCTTCCTTCCTTCCTTCCTTCCTTCCCTCCCTCCCTCCTTCCTTCCTTCTCTCTTCTTCCCTCTCTTTCTTTCTTTCTTTCTTTCTTTCTTTCTTTCTTTCTTTCTTTCTTTCTTCTTTCTTTCTTTCTTTTCTCTTTCTTTCTTCTTTCTTTCTCTGTTGCTCAGGCTGGAGTGCAGTGGCACAGTCTTGGCTCATTGCACCTGCTGCCTCCCAGTTTCAAGTGATTCTTGTGCCTCAGCCTCCCACGTTGCTGGGATTACTGGACTTTGAGACCAGTTTGGCCAATATGGTGAAACCCCATCTCTACTAAAACTACACTATATATATATATACCAGTGATTTCTTTGAGGCATTGTCTCTGTAAGCTTTTCATAAAGCATCAATGATTTCGCCATGCTTCCACCCAAGCTTCACCATAAATTTGGTGTTTTTCTTGTTTCAATTTTAGCAGAATTCATGCTGCTCTCACAGGGGCTCTGTTCAAACTGATGTCCTATCCTTCTTAGTGCTTCAAGCTAGATCTTGTTTGGACATGTTATAACAAATTAGTGAGCATTTATTTTGGTGCAAAAAATTTTTGAAATCCAAGCATAGTTTTTTTTATAATATGTATTTCCATGAACATTTTGAAGACTCCTCATATATAAAGCAAAAATTCAGAGACTGAAAGAAGAAATAGACAAATTCACAAATATAATTAGGTACATCAACACTCCTCTCAGTAATTAATATAATATTTTACACAGCAAATAAGAATACAGAATAACTGAAGAACACTATCAGTTATCTCTAGTTGATATTTATAGTGCTAGTGCATTTCACTCAACAACAGTGGAATGTATATACACATTCTTTTCAAGTGTACATGGAACATTCACCAAATTGACCAAATCTTAAGTCATAAGACAAAATTTAACAAATGTAAGAACTGAAATAATATACTGTAAGTTTGCTGATCATAAAAATCCAACAGTGGAAAAATAACAGGAAATTAAACATGCATTTCTAAAGAACCCATGGGTCAAAGAGGAAGTACAGGCTGGACACAATGGCTCATGTCTGTAATCCCAGGAGTTCAAGAGCAGCCTAGGTAAGGAAGCAAGACCCCATCTCTACAAAAAATAAAAAGGATTAGCTAGGCATAGTGGTATGCTTCTGTAGTCTAGCTACTCAGAAGGCTGAGGCAGGAGGAGCACTTGAGCTTAGGAATTTGAGGTTACAGTGAATTATTATCATGCCAATGCACTCCAGCCTGGACAACAGAGTGAAACCCTGTCTTACTAAAGAAAAAAAAAAAGGAACTACAAAGATAAAATCAATATATAAAAATATCAAAATACAAAATATGAAGATTGATGGGATTCAGCTAAAGCACTGTTTAGTGGGAAATGTGATTCAAATTGTTGAAATAAATTGTAAAAATGCCAACAAAACTAAGGACCTTATTGCTAGTTTCCTTCTTTGCTCTGACCACATTTTGGTCATTTATTAATTTAACAAATATTGATAAACACATATTTTATGCTAGGCTCTTAAGTGTTTAAATGTCATTTTAGCTCTAGGCTGTGGGCTTCTAGTGTAGTGTCTCTGGGTGTAGCATAGTATTTGGGACATAGTAGGTGCTCAGTATATACTTGTGGATTGACTAAAAATAACCACAAAAAGAGATCCTCCCCTTTGGTGAGAACTGTGGTCTAGATTTGGGGGCCAGGAGAACTTTCTGGAGGTAGTGTCAATAAATAATTCAATGTTAAACTTGTTCTGAAGGTATTTAACCAGAGTAGAGTTTTTAAAAAATTATTGAAACATTTTTTTCAGTTTTCATTTTCTTCCTTTTCTTGGGGAGTATGTAAAATAATGCAAGAATGCTTTCTACAGGAGTCCAGCTTTATTCTTTGGACATTTGAGTATGGTATGTAACTCTGGATACGATTTCAAAGCAAAAGTTGTTTAGACTTAAGATGTTTTGAAAAGGTTGACACATACCGCTAATACAAATGGAATTTTTTCAAAGTGGTGTGCCAGAAACAGTAAATCAGTTTGGTAAATATGTCACTGTAGACATCCAAGACAGAGAAAAATGAGGCCTAAGTTAAGGGACTAAGATGAAGGGAGATATTTCTAAGGCGAATCAATGAGAGGTGGCAAATTGCACCTGATGGATTTGGCAGAGATACTGCAGCTCCTGGCGTGACTAGAACTAGGATTTGTAAAAAGTTCGTGATTCTCTCAGCCCGTTTAAAGCACAATGTAGGTGTTGATCTAGTGAGGGAGTCAATGAGATAGAGCATTGCAGAGCTTGCTAGAGAGGCACAGGAAGTCGCCTGAAGTGAAGGAGGGGGTGGCTGCTGCAGAAGCTAAAGCTTCCGCCAAACAAAAGAGGACAGCACTTCCGGTCACGCCATCGTCGCTGCCTTCTCCGTCAAGGTGAGTGTAAAGAAGGGGTCTTGGTAATTCTCACATATAAATCCCGATACACTCCAGGGAGACCTCCTTTTGTGCCTCAACATGGGGTGGAAAGGAGAATTCATCCCCGCGTACGTTGTAGGAAGGATGCTTCTGACGCATGTGATTCTGATAGCTTCACTGTCTCCTCCCTTCTCCTCCGGAGATGGGAGGTCCCATCCGACTCCCCTTCCCGATTCTTGTGGTCCTTTTTATCTACCTGACTCTCGGTCATGCTTCACCTCTCTTCTTTATCCCAGATCCTCTTCTCCGGTCTGGAGGCAGGGTCATTCCCTCAATCACATTCCCTCTACCACAGGTCACTCCTATCTCCTACCTCTTACCTCCGCCTTCTGCCCCGCATCCTTTTAGCCTGCGACTCTTTGCAAGCCCCTTCCTAAACCCTGTTTTACTCCCGCTGCTGGCCTTTGGTCTTTCCCGTTCCCCTCCTCCAGAGACCAGTGAATTACGTACTTTGCAAAAGTAGGTGTGACTTCAAGGTCAAGGCTTTTTTTTTTTTTTTTTTTTTTTTTTTCTTTTTTGGTTCTTTTAAAGTAGAAGGAAAGAAGCAGAAACCTTAGAGCCCTAAGAGACATAGGCACTTGTTCGAATTATGTTCTTTTATTTTTTTAACTCTAAACAAAATTACACATCATTTAGATACTATTGCACAGATTTCTGTCTTCTCGTTGCATCTGTTTTTTATGTTGCCATAGGATTGAATCCCCAAATTTTTTTGGGGGGGGCGGCAAACGTAGTGGATTATACCTATAACCAGGTGTCAGAGCTTCAGAGAGCGTAAACTTTCCCATCCCCTGTAAAAGTTAGTGGAGAAATGGTTGACAGGCGTGGTATCCAGCCACAAATTTATTACTTTATATGAGTTGAGTTTATTATGCAAATTATTTTCTGGTCTCTGATAGCAGCATTAAGCACCAAGCTGACATTTTTTGAGACAAAGACTTTTTCTCAGAGCTTTGCAAGTATTACATAATCTATTTGTTGCAATATGAAATTACTTTTCTGTTACATTTGTTACCATGTCAAATTTATCTTGTGAGAACATCAGTTATTAAATAATAATCACAGTTTATTATTGCCTTTACTCAAATGATCATTAAATTTATGGTGAGAATCAGAGTTTTTCAGGCTCTATCAGAATCTAAAGAGGAATTTAACCAAAGTTTTCTTTGAACAAGCAGTTTACTCCCTCCTGTGTGTTATGCTTGCCAAAATAAGGGGTGATCCTCTTTTCTAGGCCATGGATAGTTTTTATTTAAGAATAAACAGGCCAGGCGCGGTGGCTCAAGCCTGTAATCCCAGCACTTTGGGAGGCCGAGGCGGGTGGATCACGAGGTCAAGAGATCGAGACCATCTTGGTCAACATGGTGAAACCCCGTCTCTACTAAAATTACAAAAAATTAGCTGGGCACGGTGGTGCATGCCTGTAATCCCAGCTGCTCGGGAGGCTGAGGCAGGAGAATTGCCTGAACCCAGGAGGCGGAGATTGCGGTGAGCCGAGATCGCGCCATTGCACTCCAGCCTGGGTAAAAAGAGCGAAACTTCGTCTCAAAAAAAAAAAAAAAAAAAAAAAGAATAAACAGGCTGGGCGCGGTGGCTCACGTGTGTAATCTCAGCACTTTGGGAGGCCAAGGCGGGCAGATCACCTGAGGTCGGGAGTTCCAGACCAGTCTGACCAACATGGAGAAACCTGTCTCTACTAAAAATACAAAATTAGCATGCCTGTAGTCCCAGCTACTCGGGAGGCTGAAGCAAGAGAATCGCTTGAACCCAGGGGCGGAGGTTGCAGTGAACCGAGATTGCGCCATTGCACTCCAGCCTGGGCAACAAGAGCGAAACTCCATCTCAGAAAAAAAAAAAAAAAAAAAGAATACACAATGAGGCAGAGCTTTTGTGACACCAAAACCCTTAGGAACATTTCCAAAGAGTATTGCTGATGTCTGTTTATTCAAATCATTATTACGTATCATTTAAATATTATCACATTCGTTTCAGCCCACTGTGCATCTCCTCACCTGTTTTTTTCCCCACATCCCAGATATGTCATCACACAGGTAAATAACTCACTATGTATCTCTAATTTATAGGTGCATTAAGTAACCACCACATCATTATTTTACTTAGTAAGATAAATAATTTCTTCTTTTTTTTTTTCTGTTGTTTTGTGATGAGTCTTGCTCTGTTACACAGGCTGGAGTGCAATGGTGTGATCTTGGCTCCCTGCAACCTCTGCCTCCTGGCAAGTGATTCTCCTGCCTCAACCTCCCAAGTATCTGGGATTACAGGAGCCTGCCATCATGCTTGGCTAATTTTTGTAGTTTTAGTAAAGATGGGGTTTCATTCACCATGTTGGTCAGGTTGGTCTCGAACTCTGGACCACAGGTGATCCACCCACCTTGGCCTCCCAAAGTGCTGGGATTTACTGGTGTGAGCCACTGCACCTAGTCAATAATAATTTTTTATATCATCTAATACTCAGTCTATATTCAAATTTCCATGATTGTCTTTTCTTTTTTTTTTTTTTTTTTTTTTTTAATTGAGACCGGGTTTAGCTCTGTTGCCTAGGTTGGAGTACAGACATATGATCAAAGCTCACTGCAGCCTCGATCTCCTGGGCTCAAGTGATCCTTGTGCCTCAGCCTCCTGAGTAGCTGGGACTACAGGTACATGCCACCACACCCACCACACCCAGCTAAAATTTTCTTTTTTGAGACAGAGTTTTGCTCTTGTTACCCAGACTGGAGTGCAATGGTGCCATCTCAGCTCACTGCAACCTCCAACTCCTGGGTTCAAGCGATTCTCTTGCCTCAGCCTCCTGAGTAGCTGGGGTTACAGGCATGCACCACCACGCCTGGCTAATTTTGTATTTTTGGTAGAGACAGGGTTTCACCATGTTGGTCAGGCTGGTCTCTAACTCATGACCTCTGGTGATCTGCCCACCTTGGCCTCCCAAAATGCTGGGATTACACGGGTGAACCACCATGCCCAGCCTAAATTTTTTTTTTTTTTTTGAGACGGAGTTTCCCGGTTGTTACCCGGACTGGAATGCAATGGCACGATCTTGGCTCACCGCAACCTCTGCCTCCTGGGTTCAAGCAATTCTGCCTCAGCCTCCCAAGTAGCTGGGACTACAGGCGTGCACCACCGTGCCCAGCTAATTTTTGTATTTTTAGTAGAGACGGGGTTTCACCTTGTTGATCAGGATGGTCTCGATCTCTTGACCTCGTGATCCACCCGCCTCGGCCTCCCAAAGTGCTGGGATTATAGGCGTGAGCCACTGCGCCCGGCCAGCCTAAATTTTTTTATATAGAGATGGGCTCTTGAATATGTTGCCCAGGCTGGTCCCAAACTCTCAGCCTCAAGCAGTCCTCCCACCTCAGACTTGCAGAGTGCTGAGATTACAGGCATGAGCTACTGTGCCTGGTGAATTGTCTTAGAGTTATAGTTATACAGTAGATTTGTTAAGTCAGTATCCAAACAAGGGCCATTTATTGCCAATGGGTGTTTTTCTCTTAAGTCTTATAAAGCCATTGCATAGTCCCCCTTTTTAAAAGATCATTGGTTAATTCAAGAAACTACGTCATTAGTTCTATAGACTGTTTCATTGTCTGGATTTAGATGATTGCTTCCTTGAGGTGGCATTTATTTTGTTTTTCCTTCCCCATGTTTCCTATTTACTGACATTTAGAGCCAGAGGCTTGATTAGATTCAATTTTGATTATTGTTTGAGAGAAAGTCTCATTTTAGGCAGTACTGTTTATTTTCTATTGTATTTTATCATGTCTAATTTTAGCTTTTTTTGTCGATGTTGGGATTGATTTGTCATTTCAGGTGTTGTCAGGCTGATCTCTCCATTGTAGCCTTTCCTACTAACCTTTCTTCTATTGGTTTTAGCAGCCATTGATGATAATTGCCTAAATTCATTATTTCAGTAGAGGTTGAAAAATAGTGATATTTAATTATTTCAATCTTTCCACATTATTAACTGGAATTACTTTATAAAGAAGACTTTTTCCGTATCAGCAATTTTTTTCGTAAAGTATATTTCATAATAAGATAAATGCTGCTGCTGCTTTTTGTTATTTATCAGTGTTCACAGTGATGAGTTGGTTTCTTAGCAACCGCCACTGTTTTCTTTAATATCATAAGGAATTCATAGATTTTTATGTATTTTGAGTGTATCAATCTATCCTGGGCATTTTTTTAAATGCTTAAACAATGTCATTTTATAAATTAGGAGCCCCTTCTGTTTAACTTCTGTTTGTTTTCACATTATCTCATTAGTCCTTGTTGGCTTCCTTGCTTTTTGGCATAAGATATTTTAGGCTCATCATGTACACTCCCTGCCCCACCTTTGAAATTAGCCATTTTACAAGGAAACGTAATTTTTCAGTGAACTTTGGTATTTAGAAACTAAGATGGGAATACTTAGGGGATTATAATTTTAAAAGTCGTGCTATCTGATCTTTTGTTATGCTCTTTTTCTTGCTATTTTGAATACATTTAAATGACTCTTGCAGCATTTTATTGAAAATTGGCTAAACATGGCTTTCATCTGTTTATGTAGTCATTCATTTAGCAAAAAATTATAGAATGCTTACTATCATGTATCTGGTCTTATGCTGGGCACAGGAGATACGAGGGTAAACCTCACTGGTCTCCTGTCCTTAAAGAAGACTCATTCTAGTGTGGATATGAGCAAATAGGCAGTGTCTGAAGAGCAGTGAAGATTACTGTGTTCATACTCTTTTGGCATTGAGCATACTCTGGGCATAGGCAAATGGGGTGACAGGCTGTAGGAGCACAGAGAGAACATCCCAAAATGCTTTGGAAAGGGAAGGTAATGCTTGATACTGGATGAGTAGAAGAGGTATGAAGGTAGAAGAGTGATGAAGAGTGTTCCAGTCAGGAAACTGGAAGAAGTAGGGGGGATCTTGATAAAGTCAAGGAAAGGCCTGTATGTAGTTGGTTATGATGGGAACATAATTGTGTAAGTTTTTCAATTTTCAGAAGATTGACAAAATAGTCTATTACCACAGACATGAAGATGTAAAATGTTGTATGTATATGTTATTGACTTTTATATTAAAACTAATAATGAAATAATACAAATTCTAATTAAAATTAGTATTTAATGTACTTCTTGGACCTCACTATATTTTAGTTATTTCATTAATATTAAAGCATAGTTATAGTTAGGGGATGCTTATTTCATGGTTTATTTCACTGCTTATTTTTACTGTTATTTTTCTTTTTCTTTTTCTTTCTTTTTTTTTTTTTTTGAGATGGAGTTTCGCTCTTGTTACCCAGACTGGAGTGCAATGGCACGATCTCGGCTCACCGCAACCTCTGCCTCCTGGGTTCAAGCAATTCTCCTGCCTCAGCCTCCCAGTAGCCGGGACTACAGGTGCGCACCACCATGCCCAGCTAATTTTTGTATTTTTAGTAGAGACGGGGTTTCACCATGTTGACCAGGATGGTCTCAATCTCTTGACCTCGTGATCCACCTGCCTCGGCCTCCCAAAGTGCTGAGATTACAGGCTTGAGCCACCGCGCCCGGCCTTATTTTGCTTTTTCTATATGTGTTAAGAATCTGAATTTTCAAGATATGTCATTAAAAATAGTGGCATATTTATTGTGGTTCTTCATGTCCCTTCATCCTTTGGCTGCTATTTGTGTCAACCTGTTTAATACCATAACTGCAGTCTCTTACACAAGGCCAAGGTGTTCCAGAAAACATGTCATCTCTCTTTATTACCAATTGCACATTATACTATTCCTGTTGCCTTTTACAGCATGTTGCACCTGAGGCTATCTATCTGACAGATATTGCATGAATAGTGTGTTACACACAGATTTGTGGTTTCCCAGTTGGAAATTTTGGGACTGTGAGTGTAAGAGAATCACTAGGCTTAGGAGGGAACCACATCTCATTTGTGGCCAGGAGGTGAAGGGGTGTTCTATAAATCACTGAAGGATGTGGGCAAGCTTATTTTTTAGGAAGGGGCATTCTAGAGGTCATAAAGAAAAGATTTCAGGTGGGAAGGAGAGCAGTGAAACAGCAGATTCAAGGAGAAGTGGGAGTAGGTTACTACTTTTCATTCCCTCTATTTGTCTTCTTGATTATAAGAATATGTTTCTAGAGTTCTGAAAGGCAAGAAGTGTAAGAGAACAAAGGGAGAGTCAGAGAAGGTGAGAAAGGAAAACATACACAGTCTGAGAATGTCAGACGTGATGGGAGAATAGTGGGGAAGATAGATTGCAACCCTCAGCATGGATTGATAAGTCTTAGGAAAGACAGATCATTAATTAATTAATCAATTAAGTAAAAACATAGTGATGACTAGCTGGATAATGAGAACACGTAATTGACTTAAATGTATTTTCAACTGAGTGAGATAGACATAGACATTGCAACAGCCAGTGCTTGCTGGAGGAGAGACGAATGTCTGGTGGTAGCAGTAGAGACATAGAGGAAGGTCCTCTAACCTATCTTAAGGGCTCAGAGAAGGCTTCCTAGAAGAGACCATGTTAAGAACTGAATTTTGACAAAAAAAGTGTTGAGTGGGATCAGAGAGCAAGTGGTTATTTAGACTATGTAAAGTAGCTGAATGGGTATGCCATTTAGCCTTGAACCTAAAGTAATGGGCAATTTAGAGGTTACTCTGTGGTCTAGTAGAGCTAAGGAAAAGGGACAAGTGGAAAGGAATCGTTTTATAAATGGTTAAATTTATGCTATAATATGTATCACTTTAGTTAAGAGCAACCTCTTCTATTTTACCCAGTATGCCATGAAATGATCATTTTCTGTATATGTTGTGACATGAACAAATATAAGCATGTATTTGGATATTGAAAATGCATTGTGTTCTCTGTATCAAGGGGTTTTCATAAATTCTCTTGAATCGTGCCAACAACCCTATGGAGGTGGAAACTGACTTCAAGATGAAGTGACACACATAACTGTCTGTTAGAGACTGAACTGAGATTAAAACTATGTCATTGTCCATTTGCTGGATGTCCAAGGTTTACAGTGTCTTCATAACCTATGCCAATCCTACTCTTGCACAGGTAACTATTCTTTTAAGTAAAGTGAAATTTAAAATGACTTCCATCTTATCACTTTGCAGGACTGTTCAGTTAATGACTTTCAGCAGTCAGTATCCTGAGTTTTGTTTCTCAACTATGGTCATCATTGTCATATATAAAATGCCCTGACCATCATTTTGAAGCTTGACCTCTTTCCAAATCCCCATCCCTTAAATTTGTTTTCTTCTAGTATGGGGCCAGGCATGTGAAATTATGTTCAGATCATAATCCTTTGTACCACCTTTCCAGAAAAAAAAAAAAAAAACAACTCATCCTTCTTAGCCAAATCCCTCTTTCTTGTCAAAGAAATGTCCCTTAGTCTGCTTAGTGTTATCATAACATTTATTTTTAAAAATATGTTTATTTAGCTCGTGGTTATGCAGGCTGGGCAGTTCTAGTGGCATGGTGTTGGCATCTGCCCAGCTTCTGGTGAGGGTTTTTGTGCTGTATCATAACATGGGGAAGGTCCAAAGGGTGAGAGGGGAGACCCCATTGCCTCCTTCAACTTCACCTCTTCCACCCACTTTCAGATGGGAAGGAGAGTGAAGAAGGGAAAAAAATAAAATAAAATACTAAAGAGCTGGGAAAATGACTCCCTTTTTAGTTCCCAGCGTCTCTGCTATCTGTTACCTTGAAAGAGCTGCAAATGAATGCTATCTCTGTGGGCTCGAGCCCGGCACTGGTTCACTCCCCCATGTCTCCATGGACCAGACTCCCTCTTGGAAACACCTCTGCCAACAAACAGCTTGTTGCTTTTGTCTTGTCTCTGTAAGCCCCCTTCCCTTGCTGGTCCCTGCTCATGCTGCATATGAATTAGCAAATCAATGAAGCCAAAAGATTGTAAGGTTGGACATCCAGCAAATGGACAATGACATAGTTCTGCCTCAGTTTCCCTTTTAGCATTGTCAGCCTATAAAAGGGAAGAGAAGCTGCAGCTCAGGGAGCTTGGTGAATGAGGCTGAAGCCCCCCGCAGCTCCTGGCTGAATAAAAAAGCCACTTCCTTCCTCAGTTCCGTGTTCGAGAGGTTTGTTCCCTGCTGTTCCTGCTACAGGGGGACATGGCCTTGTGCAAAGGGACAAAACTTGAGGGACACCCTGGTCTTATAACAACCCACTCTCACAGAAACTAATTGCATGAGAACTCATTCACTTTTGTGGGAACGACACCAAGCCATTCATGAGGGATTTGCCACCATGACCCAAACACCTCCAACTAGGCCCCACCTCTAACACTGTCACACTGGGGATTAAGTTTCAGCATGAGTTTTGGTGAAGACAACTGTATCCAAACAATAGCAGCCCCTTTCCTGCTTTTTGCCTACCTTCCTAGGGGGAAAATACAGAACATACTTAACTCTTGGAGAGTTTTGGGTTCCCAGGACAAATCCCTGCTTCCTTTCCATTTAGGACTTCTAGGCTTCAGATGACTGTTATCTCCTAGTTGAGGCCTGAATATATAGACTGACTCTGAGATCTTTAGGAAACTGAGAAGATTTAGTGCTGGAGTTGCCCTAGTGATTATTTTTGATTGACACCAGCTGTGCCCCAAACAAGATACTGGATATTTAGATGAGTCAGACAAAGACCTGCCCTCAAAGACCTCTTAGTTTTGTGTGAAGGAGGAACATGTAAACAGCAATTACACAGATAAATAGCATGATATTGTGGAAGCACAAAGGAATGTGATCTAATTGCAGGGGGCAGGTAGCAAGGAAGTCTTTTGGGTGGAGATAACATCTGTGCTAGATATCGAAAGATGGTATGAGATAATAGAAGAAGGTAAAGAGTGGTAAGAGGGGTAGGCAGTCAGTAAGGTCATGGACAGCTTTTTTTGTTTCTTTGAGATGAAGTTTCACTTTTGTTGCCCAGGCTGGAGTGCAATGGCACGATCTCAGCTCACTGCAGCCACCGCATCCCAGGTTCAAATGATTCTCCTGCCTCAGGAGTAGCTGGGATTACAGGCATGCACCACCACACCCAGCTAATTTTGTATTTTTAGTAGAGACAGTTTCTCCATGTTGGTCAGGCTGGTCTTGAACTCCTGACCTCAGGTGATCCACCCTCCTCGGCCTCCCAAAGTGCTGGGATTACAGGCGTGAGCCTCCATGCCTGGCGGGATGGCCTTTTTTATGCTAATAGGCTGGAACTCAGTGGAGAGGGGTTTAAAGTGGGGGGGGGGGAGGATGTCATGATCAGATTATCACTCTTGAAAGGTCACTGAATTAGAACTGAAAGTTCCCATTGAGCAAGGTAACATATTCTGTATGTTTGAAAGTGTTTCTAGTTCGCTGTTACTACAAGTTGTCCCCATTTTTATTTTTACTATATGCCGTGTTTAACAGCATATTACATACTTTGAGAATACTGTCTCTGGTCTAACACAAGCGTATAAGTTACGTAATATCATTTCTGTTTCATATATAAATAGTATTTCAGGGAAGTCAAGGGTGACATAATAAAGATAATTTTGAGTTAGGTATAGAGCTGTGATTTTCCAAATTTTGCTCCTCCAGCCTTTCCAGAAACTTGGGTAAGGAAGGGTCAGGTTTCTGGGTTCTCTGCTTGTGCCCCAACAAGAATTACTCTGTTCTATTTCTTATTTACTGTGCCCTTGGATAAGGTTTTGTTTAGAAAAACAGGAACTGCATCTTTGAAAATTAATTCAAATGCAAAGATGCTATACTTCAGGATACTGGGGACAAAGAAACGAAGACAGACAAAAATAGTATTAATTTGACGGAATGAGTAAGATGTAGATGGCTAAATATAGAAGCAAAGGAGGAATTTAGGATGATGCTGTTTTTGTTTCTGGCTTGGGAGACTCAGAGGATATGGTGCCATTGAAGAAGGGGCAGGGAGGTTATGCCCACTTTCATGTTTTTGTGGGATAACCACAAAGATGTGTCTGGTTGGCAGTTAGATATATTGCTTGGAGTTTAAGAGGGGGATCTGGGGTGAAGATAAACATTGGATGTTTATTGACACAGAAAAAGTTGAAACTATGGAGGTGAATGAGATTGCTTAGGCCAGTATGGTCCTACAGAAATATATTGTAAGCCACATGTATAATTTTAAAAATAAACTTTATTTTGGATTTACAATAATATTACCAGCATAGTCCGGAAAGTTCCTCTATACCCCACATTCAGTTTCTGCTATTGTTGACATATTAAATTATTAATGTACATTTGTCACAACTAATGAACCAATATTGATATATTGTTATCAACAAAAGTCCATACGTTATTCAGATTTCCTTATTTAAAAAATTTAGGGCCCTGTCCTCCCTTAGACATCCTGGGTGCCACATGGCTGCTTAAGACTAAGGATGACTGGAGAAGACATGAGGGAGGGTACCCATGTCAGTTTAAAACTTCTTTTCAGTAGTTTAAAATCTTAAAGTTATGTTAATATTAAATTAATAATCATAAAATGCCTAAGTCATTTAAGTTAAAATATTAAACATTAATTATTAAGCATAAGCTTAAGTTGATATATTTTAGCATCTTATTTTTAAATGGTATAGAAAAGCTAAATATATTTAGATTTGTTAATGAACAAAAATTTGAGGTCTTGAGCAGTGGCTCATGCCTGTAATCCTAGCACTTTGGGAGGCCAAGGCAGGAGGGTCGCTTGAACCAGGAGTTTGAGACCAGCTTGTGCAACATAGAGAGACCCTGTCTCTACAAAAAAGAAAAAAAAATAGCTGGGCATGGTGGCACACACCTGTGGTCCCAGCTACTCCTCAGAAGGCTGAGTTGTGAGAATCACTTGAGTTTGGGAGGTCAAGGTTGCAGTGAGCCGTGGTTGCGACACTGCCCTCCAGCCTGGGTGACAGAGCAAGACCGTATATCAAAAAAATAAAAATAAAAAAAAAAGAGAGAGAGAAATAAAAAGAAAAGCAAGGTATGTTTTTGGCAAGGAAAGGCACAAAAATGTGTGTTTATTAAAGAATTTGTCTAGTTTAAAAGTTGCTTAAAGATCATTTCAAATTAAATAAATCAAAAGAGATATAAATAAAACACAAAACATGGAAAAGAGAAAATTTAAAAAGTACCTCCAGGATATTATATTACATTTAGTCATTATATTTCTCTAGGATACCCTTTGTTATGCCAATTTCTCAGGCTTTCCTTGTTTTCGATGACCTTCATAGTTTTGAGGAGTATTCATCAGGGTTGTAGAATGTCCCTCAGTTTGAGTTTGTCTGATATTTTTATCCTGGTTAGACTAGCGTATGGGTTTTGATTTTGTTTCTTAGAGGGCACAGAGATAAAGTACTATTCTCATTGCACAATGAGGACGTCCTGCGAATATGACTTATCTGCGAGGAGAGGAATCTTGAATACTGGTCTGGGGTAGTGTTTGCCAGGTGACTCCACTGTAAAATCACTTTTTTTCACCTTCCCATTCTGTATTCTTTTCAGGGAAGCCACTATGTACAGTCCAAACTTAAGGGATGGGTGTTATGCATCTCCTTTTGGCGGAATTTGGAATTTTTCTCTACAAGAGATTTGACTTCTGTCCTCCATTTACACATCTAGTCATTTATCTGTATCAATATTGACCCATGAATATTTATTTTATACTCTGGGTTCTAGTCCAGTACTACATTATTTACATTATTAACTTTGTTGCTCAAATTGTTCCAGCTTTGGGCCAGGCATGGTGGCTCATGCCTGTAGTCCCAGCACTTTGGGAGGCCAAGGCAGGTGAATCACTTGAGGTCAGGAGTTCAAGACCATCCTGGCCAACATGGCGAAACTCTGTCTCTACTAAAAATAGAAAAAGTAGCCAGGTGTGGTAGCGCACACCTGTAATCCAAGCTACTCAGGTGGCTGAGACAGGAGATTGCTTCAACCCTTTAGGTGAAGGCTTCAGTGAGCCGAGATCACACCACTGTACTCCAGCCTGGGCAACAGAGCAAGACTCTGTCAAAAAAAAAAAAAATTGCTCCAGCTTTGGTTATTGGGGCAATTTTAGATTCACTCTTGTGTCTCTTGAAATGCCCCCATTGTTTTGTTTTTTTGAGTACTTCCTTACTTTCTGGAACACAAGATACACCAGGCTCATATTGTATATTCCATGCCCCAGCCCTAGAATTAGCCATTTCTCCGAGATCCCTTTCTTTTATTAGAGTATGGTATTACACACCAAGGTCCAGGTGTTGTGTGTACTCATTGCTATCAATGTGTCAATGCTTCTAGGCCTCTGAGCAGACAGAGTTAGGAAATATGTATACTAATCACGTATTCACATGTATTTATAAATATTTATGTATATTCCATCTTTATCTTAAGCTAAACATGAGTTTATACTGATGACTCTGATTCTAATCCAGTACCATGAACATGGTTTATTCTAGCCTTCCCAACTTGCTTATCTGTAACCTCTCATTCCAGTGACAAACCTTGTTCCCACCACCCTCCATCCATTCACTTGTTTGTTCAATTCCAGTATGCATGTATGGCAGTTTCAGAATTACTAATTCATACTCCACAAGAAACAACTTCACCAGCTATAGTACAGCACTTGTGTAGTTTATTTTGTCTTTACTCTTATAGTCTCTACTCATTTCCAAAGTTACCTAGGGTGGCACCTTTCCTTTCTACCCTCTTTAGGAAGGTTCTAGCATACATCTGTAAATCAGTTAAAATTTTTGTCACCATATGCATTCCATCCTGTTATCCCTTGCCCTCCTAGTTGACATTTAAAACATTTACATAAATTAAGGTTCACTCTTATGCTGTAAGGTTCTGTGGGTTTTGACAAATGGATAACATCGTGTACCACTGCAGTGTCATACAGAATAATTTCACCAACCTAAAAAGTACACTCTGCACTTCATTTGGTCAACCCTACTTCCCTCCCTAAACTCTTGGCAACTACTAATTCTTTTCCTCTATGATTTTGTTTTTGAACAATGTTACATAAATAGAATCATGCAGTATGTCTTCTTTTCAGACTCTCTTTTTCACTTAAAATATGCATTTCAGATTCACTCGTGTTGTTACATGGGTTAACAGCTCATTAAATTTTATCACTCTTTTGTTGTTGCATTACATTTTTATGTTTATGCCTAATGAATAATTTTATAGATATTGTTTTATGCTGTTGACTTTTAAACATGTTAAGAGAAGAAATATTAGTTACCCTGTTTTTATATTTATCTTCATAATGGCCTTTACCATTGCTATTTGTTTTTGTGTGGATTCATAGTACACTCTGGAGTCATCTTTCAGTCTGAATAACTTCTTTTAGTATTTCCTTCTTTTTTTACTTTATTTTCTTGAGTCGGAGTCTTGCTCTGTTGCCAGGCTGGAGTGCAGTGGTGTGAACTCAGCTCACTACAACCTCCGCCTCCCAGGTTTAAGCAATTCTCCTGCCTCAGCCTCCTGAGTAGCTGGAAGTATAGGCACGTGCCACCATGCCCAGATAAGTTTTGTATTTTTAGTAGAGACGGGGTTTCACCATGTTGGCCAGGTTGGTCTTGATGTCTTGACCTCATGATCTGCCCTCCTCAGTCTCCCAAAGTGCTGGGATAACAAGTGTGAGCCCCCATGCCTGGCTGTCTTTTAGAATTTCTTGCAAGGCAGGTCTGGTAACAACAAATTCCCCCAGTTTTTGTTTATCTAGTAATATTTTTTGTTTTTGTTTTTTTTTGAGACTGAGTCTCACTCTATTGCCCAGGCTGGAGTGCAGTGGTACAGTCTTGGCTTACTGCAATTTCTGCCTCCCAGATTCAAGCAATTCTCATGCCTCAGTCTCCTGAGTAGCTGGGATTACAACACCTGCCACCACACCCAGCTAATTTTTTGCATTTTTAGTAGAGATGGAGTTTCACCATGTTGGCCAAGCTGGTCTTGAACTCCTGACCTCAAATGATCCTCCCGCCTCAGCCTCACAAAGTGCTGGGATTACAGGATTGAGCTATAGCACCCAGTCTATCTGGTAATATATTTTTTTAAATTCTGCCTTGCTTTTTTTTTTTGAGACAGAGTTTTGCTCTTGTTACCCAGGCTGGAGTGCAATGGCGCAATCTCGGCTCATCGCAACCTCCGCCTCCTGGGTTCAGGCAATTCTCCTGCCTCAGCCTCCTGAGTAGCTGGGATTACAGGCGCGTGCCACCATGCCCAGCTAATTTTTTGTATTTTTAGTAGAGATGGGGTTTCACCATGTTGACCAGGATAGTCTGGATCTCTTGACCTCGTAATCCACTCACCTGGGCCTCCCAAAGTGCTGGGATTACAGGCATGAGCCACTGTGCCCGGCCTTTTTTTTGTTAGTAATTCTGTTTTTAAATTAATATATAATGCACAAAAAATAAAAATGAACATTTTAAGGTATAAAATTAAGTGATTTTAAAAGCATATTTACAAAGTTGTGCAACCATCAACACTATTTCATTCCTGAACATTTTCATCACTCCCAAAAGAAATCCTGTATACATTATTAGTCACCCCCAAGTCCCCATTCTCTCAGCCCGTGGCAACCACTAATATACTCTGTCTCTCTGAATTTCCCTATTCTGGACTTTTCATATAAATAGAATCTTGCAATATGTGGCCTTTTGTGTCTCGCTTCTTCCACTTAGCATAATGTTTTCAAAGTTTATCCATGCTGTTGCATTTCTCAGTATTTCTGTCCCTTTTTATGGCTGAAAGATATTCCATTGTATGAATACCTTTTATGTATTTGTTATCAGATTGTAGATGGACAGATGAGTTGTTTGTACTTTTTGGCTATTATGAATAATGCTGCTATGAGCTTTTATTTTATACATTTGGTATACATTTTTGCACTAACATATGTTCTCGTTTCTCTGGTGTATACACCTAGGAGTGAAATTGACAGTAACTCTATATTTAACTCTTTGAAGAACTGTCAAACTTTTCCAAAATGGCTCTACCACTTACATTCCTATCAGGAATGTATGAGCATTCTGATTTCTCCACATCCTTACTAACACTTGTTGTTTTCCCTTTTTTTTTTAATTACAACCTTCTTAGTGAGTATAAATAATAAAGAATCTCACTTAATTTTTAAAATATAAGATTTAACTACTGACATCTTTTAAGCCTCACCTCTCCATCTTCATTTTCTGCCCCACAACTGGGTAACGTGATTAGAAAGCCTAGTGCTTCCTCCTTTGGAGCTAGCAAGAGATTCAGATCATGCAAGTGTCTTCCTGAAAGAAAGAACCCTCACTCCTGCCTCATCCTTTAACCACAATAAAAACTCAAAGTTAATTTCCTTTCCTTTTTCTATCTTGCTCGGGAGACTTGCCTTGCTCTCTCTAGAAATGCATCATTTATATAAGTAAGTAGTAAACATTTTCATACCCTCTGTGTGTGAGGTGTTATCAGTCTGAACATTGGAATCAAAGCTTGGGTGGGGTCCCTCCTTCTTCTGCAGGATGGCAAGACCAATTGGCACAGTGAGCTTGGTGCTCAGATAAGGAGAGAGCCATCATGCGGGGAAGGGAGTATGTTTCCATAATTGCTATGGCTCACTAATTGGTTCTCATGGCAAGCATAATCACTGAACCTGCAAGGCTAGCTTATTTTTTAGTTGTGCTATGCTGTGTTGTATTGCTGACTCCTATAGAAACCTTTCATAGATTTAGTTAACTTGGAAGTTTAGATAATTTAATTGACATTTAGGAACAGTAGTATGGGATCCTTAAAGTAGCCCTGGATCATATGTCTCAGCTCAGACCTATTTGCATCTTAACATAAAGCTGTGACTGATGCTAGGCTCAGGAGGACAACCGTGTCTATGACTAGTTGGTTATGTGTCTCAATTAGGCTCTGACCCTGACAGCTGACTGCCCATTGGGTGGCGGCTCTTGAGAGCAGTCATTAGGGCGTGAAAAAAAGAGCAAGAGAAGAGAAAAGAAACAGCTGTTATGTGGCTTGCTGTGGTCTGCACTCCTAAGCACAAATGACTCACTAGGACCCTTAAATACCTCCGTTGCTGTTGCTGGTGCTGGTGCTGGTGCTGCTGCCTCTGCTGCCACTGCCACTGCCACCACCACTGCCTGTGCTTCTGTTGCAACAAAGATCCTGATCTTCAGGAGTATAGGGAAAAACATCAGTGGCACCCCTGTTGCTTGGAGAAAGGGGTAATTCAAGTCCAACTAAAGCCCCTAGTCCTTTAATCTTATATGACCACCATTGGCTTTGGGGAGGCCCCTTACAGTGACAATGTTGACGGGCGACTTTCTGAAGGAAGACATTTGTAAATATGAGCAGGGTAGGGACCCCCAGAAATATACCCAGTAACAACAGCAACAACAAAAAAGAAGTACAGCCATGTACAGCATTATGATGTTTTGGTCAATGATAGACCACATATGAGGATGGTGGTCTCATAAGACTGTAATGGAGCTGAAAAATTTCTATCACCTGGTGATGTCATAGCTGTTGTAACATTGTAGTGCAACGTGTTACTCACGTATTGATGGTGATGTCGGTGTAAAGAAGCCTGCACTACCAGTCGTACATAATAATTGTTACATAGTCGTACATAATAATTGGTACACAATAATTGATAATGATAAAAAACAGCTAGGTGTGGTGGCTTATGCCTGTAATCCCACCACTTTGAGAGGCCAAGGTGGACAGATCACTTGACGCTAGGAGTTTGAGACCAGTCTGGCCAACAGGGTGAAAATCTATCTTTAAAAAAAAAAAATGGGCTGGGTGCGATGACACATGCCTGTAGTCTCAGGTACTCTGGAGGCTGAGGCATGAGAATCGCTTGAATCTGGGAGGCAGAGCTTGTAGTGAGCCAAGATTGTGCCACTGCACTCCAGCCTGGGTGACAGAGCAAGACCCTGTCTCAAAAAAAAAAAAAAAGAGAAAAAACAACCATGTTTATGCATTTACTATATCACAATTTTTATTATTATTTTAGAGTGTAATCTTTCTACTTATTAAAAGAAAAGTTAACTATCAATGGCAGGCAGGTCCTTCAGGAGGTATTCCAGAAGAAGGCATTGTTATAGGAGATGACAGCTCCATGTGTATTATTGCTCCTGAAGAACTTCCGGTGGAACAGGATGTGGAGGTGGAAGACAGTGATATTGGTGATCCTGACTCTGTGTAGGGCAAGCCTAATTTGCATGTATCTTAGTTTTTTAGAAAAATAAATAAATGAATTTTAAAACAGAAATAAGCTCATAGAATAAGAATATAAAGAAAGAAAATATTTCTATATAGCTGTACAATGTGTTTGTGTTTCAAAAGCTAAGCATTATTACAAAAGAGTCAAAAAAATTTTAAAAAGTTTATAAAGTGAAAAGTTATAGTAAGCTAAGGTTAATTTGTCACTGAAAGAAATTTTTAAAGCATGATTTTGATGTAGCCTCAGTGTACGTTAGTGTACAATAATGTCCTAGGCCTTCACATTCACTCACCACTCATTCACTGACCCACCCAGAACAACTTCCAGTCCTACAAGCTTCATTCATGGTAAGTGCACAATACAAGTGTACCATATTTTTGTCTTTTTTTTTTTGAGACGGAGTTTCACTTGTCACCCAGGCTGGAATGCAATGGTGCAATCTCCGCTTACTGCAACCTCTACCTCCCAGATTCAAGTAATTCTCCTGCCTCAGACTCCTGAATAGCCAGTATTACAGGTGCCCGCCACCATGCCTGGCTAACTTTTGTGTTTTTAGTAGAGACAGAGTTTTGCCATGTTGACCTGGCTGGTCTCGAACTCCTGGTCTCAAGTGATTCACCTGCCTTGGCCTTCCAAAGTGCCGGGATTATAAGCGTGAGAGACCATGCCTGGCCATATTTTTGTCTTTTATACCATATTTTTACTGTACCTTTTCTATGTTTAGGTAGGTTTAGATATACAGATACACAAATACGAAGATACACAAATTGTATTCAGTATAGCAATGTGCTGTACTGGACTATAGTCTAGGAGCAATAGTCCATACCGTATAACACAGGTGTGTAGTAGTCTTTATCATCTAGGTTTGTGTAAGTACATTCTGTGATATTCACACAGCGGTGATGGTGATGAAACCACCTAATGACCCATTACATTTCTCAGAATGTATCTCCATTGTTAAGTGACACCATGACTGTAAAAGAAAGAAAAACAGCAGATATGAGAGGACAAGGAAACAAACAGGAAAGAAGATCTGTGATTTGACCCAATTAGAATCCAGAATTTATGGAAAGATTTTACTAAAAGAGCAAAAAACAAAAGGGTGCTGATTGGTGTTGAAATGCAGTGGGTGGCAAAACTTCATGACCTTAATTAATACTGGGGCTCAAATTGGTTATATGTCAGGATCCCACTATATTTAAGCAAGGTACCTCCTATTATCTAAGGGGAGTTCCTGAACATGAAAGAGATAAACAAATATGCCTCACATTAACTATCAGAATTATTGCCTTGCCTGAATTCCTCACATTCGTACCATTCATTGCCTTAAAATATCCCCTAGTGGGTAGTATGAGTACTCTGATGTAATGAGTGATAAAATTAAGTATTTGGCACATGTGAATCAGTTTGGCAATGTGAGATCCCAAGGACTATACCCCAGTAAAAATAGGTTAATACAGCCCACTATAAATTAGAATATAGTCTACAAATATGGCAGCCCCTGATACAAGGCCTATTTGGTGAAAGGGTGATTATCCCCATGTCTTCTCCTTTAACGACCCAATTTGGCCGTTTTTTTTTTTTTTTTGTGAGCAGGCTGGAGTGCAGTGGCGCAATCTCAGCTCACTGTAACCTCCACCTCCTGGGTTCAAACGATTCTCCTGCCTCAGCCTCCCGAGTAGCTAGGACTGCAGGCACACGCCACCATGCCCGACTAATTTTTTGTATTTTTAGTAGAGACGGGGCTTCACCGTGTCAGCCAGGAAGGTCTCAATCTCCTGACCTCGTGATCCACCCACCTCGGCCTCCCAAAGTGCTGGAATTATAGGCAGGAGCCAATGCGCTGGCCTTAGCCTGTTCTTAAAACTTCAAATGAATGGAACCTAATGGTGGATTACCATAATGCTAATGTTGTGGTCCCACACATTAAGGTCCCCATACCCAGTATTGTTGACATTACTGACTTCATCCAGTTTGTGACTGGTAAATATTTCGCTTTTATAGATTTGGCTAATTTGTTCTGTTCACTGTCTATTTCAGCAGCCGTTCAGCCTCAGTTTGCCTTCACCTCTGAAGGGACACAATAAACATTTACCTGGCTGCTTATGGGATACCTGAACAGTTTTGCCATTGTACTCTATCTTTGCTGGCAAGATCTTAACTGTACTGAGCTTTTTCTAGGTGTAGAGGTATGACATTACATTGATGACACCCTTCCCCGAGGAGATTCATTTGACACACTCATTCAGGAAATACACATAGTCACAAAATTGCTGACAAAATGGGATGGCCATTGTTCCACATGTAGTGCAAGGGCCTACCACTTTGTTTTAATACCTACACATTATTTGCTAAACTGAAGACCATTCTGTCTCTGACACTGTCAGAAAAGCAGCTATTGACCCTGTCAGCACCCACAACTTCTTTTAGGCTCATTTGTGTTCTGGTGACAAAATATTCCTCTTTTATAAATTTTGTAGATGCCCCATTTATCCTATTTCTTACAAATCAGTTCATCTTGAATGGGGATTCCTTCCAACAAAAGACGTTAGAATCTGTCAAAATTGCAATATGACAGACATTATTGTTAGTGACCCCAGATGTGCTTCACCATGGAGATTTTAGCAACTTCCTGTTTCTCCTAGATTCTCTGGACCATCCATGATTGCCATGAATTGCCAAGGGTTTCTGATGCAAGAAACTTGTCATCCTTGGACCTGTTCTATACACAATTAGTGTGACAATTGCTAGCTGCATAGTGGGCTCTCTTAGAAATAGAAGCTATCACAATCCCTGAGCCTGTGACCCTCCATATCCAGCTGCCTATTGTGCCTTGGGTCATGGAAGCCATGGCACTACAAGTTGGGCATGGTTACTGAGGCCTCCTTGCTACAAGATGGAGAAAAACCCGGGTCTTCTGTCATATACCACTTGGAGGAAGGGGTGGCCTCCCCTGGCTTTAGTTCCTTGCCAAATACCATGGTGTTGGAGGATGTCACCCCTCTCCCAGACCTTGTGGCTACCTGCAGAACCCCTTGAGATCAATGGAGTGAAAAACAATGGTTTGTACGCTTTATGGATGATATCACAAGCATTGTATGCAACGGAGTTTGCTGGAGAGCTTATGCTTTTCATCTTGTAACCAAGATGCTTCTGATAAGAACAGGACACAGGGATCAGTACAGTTGGCCAGACTTCAGACATTCACCTTAGCACTGTATGCCCTAGCCAACAATTGGCCCTTCCGCACATTTTGACAGACTCTTGAGCCATTGCCTACGAGTTGCCCCATTTGGGGAAAGAACTCTGAGAATCTCTAACATCACAGAAACCCAAAATGTAAATCAAAATAACACATTTATCTTTGTATGGTAAAGGTCAAACATAAGGTCACACCAAGAGACTCCTCGTTTTCCTTTGGAATTTGAGGCATCACTGATAGTGACCAAGGCACGCATTTCATTTCTTAGAATATACAATTTTGGGCTTAATGAAGGAATTCAACAAAACATTTACTTTCCTTACAGACTTCATTCTGCAGGACTTACAGAGCACCATACTGGCTTCATTAAACAAATTTATATTTAAGTAAATGAAACATGGCACATTTCAGTCATTAGACAAACATCGGGGTGAATTGTAAGATTCTGACTCTAATTTTTGAAGTTTGCTCACATTTTTAAGCTTCACCCTCTTCCCCTCTGCCCCACATCTGGGCAGGTTGATAAGAAGCTCTGGTTGCTCCCTTATTGGTGTCAGGAAAAGATTCAAACCATGGAAGCCACTTCATGTGCATAGGAACCCTTACCCTGGGCCCTAACTACAGTGAAAACCCTTTGTGGTTGTCTCCTTTCCTTGTTCTGTCAAGTCATTTCTTACCTGCTTGGGAAGCCTGCCCTTCTCTACCAAGAAAATATTCATTTAGGTAAGTATTAAACCTTCTTGCACCCTCTTGGTGTGTTTAACCAGTCTCCACGTCTAACCTAAGTTTGGGATGGAGATCCCTTCTTCCTCTTCACAGTGTCAAGTAGTACCCAATTGAGGTTCTTATTTGCATTTCCCTAATGACTAAAGATATTGAATGTATTTCCATGTCCTTATTGACCATTTGTATATCTTCTTTAGAGAAATATCTATTCAAATCCCTTTTACTTTTTGAATTACATTGCTTATATTTTTAATTGTTTAGTTATATGACTTTTTATGTATTGTGGGTATTAAGTCCCTAGCAGATATATGATTTTCAATTGTCTTCCATTCTATGGGTTGTCTTTTTACTTTCTTGATAGTGTCTTTTGAGGACAAAAGTTTTTCATTTTGATGAAGTTCAAACTATCTAGTTTTTCTTTTATAGCTTGTGCTTTTGTGTCTTATATAAAAGTTGTTTCTTAATCAAGTTCACAATGATTTACACCTATGCTTCTGTGAGTTTTATAATTTTAGCTTCTACATGTAAGTCTTTGATCTTTTTTGAGTTTATTTTTGTATGTGGTGTGAGATAGGGGTCCAATTTCATTTACATATGGATATCCAGTTGTCCTGGCACCATTGTTTAAGAGACTATAATTGGCACTCTTGTCAAAAATCAATTTACCATAAATATAAGGGTTTATTTCTACTCTTTCAATTCTGTTCATCAGTCTGTATGTCTACAATTATTCTAGTACTGTAGAATCTTAGTAACTGAAGCTTTGTAGTAAGTTTTGATATTAGGAAGCATGACTCCTCCAACTTTGTTTCACGTTTTCAAAATTGTTTTGACCATTTTCAGTTACTTCCATTTTAGTATTAATTTAAGGTTAGTTTGTCTGTTTCTGCACAGTAGGTATTTAGAATTTTAATAGGAATTTCACTGAATCTATGAGACATTGGTTATGTTGGTGTCTCTGTTCGGGTGCCAGCTGTGATGAGTGTCATGTCAGGGTCACCACCTGAGATGTTGATTACGTTGGTGTTACCACCTGAGGCATTGATCACCACCTGCGGAGGTCTAGTCTGTAGACCCCGACTTAGCGATGGATGAAGTATATCCTTAGACCCAGTACAGTGATTTGAGTATGCTAGGGATGGTTGTCAACTGCTTTCAGAGGGCAATTGCAGCTAACCAACCATGACTCACTGTTTTTTTCCACATTTATTCAGTATAGATTTAATAACAGAGGTTTTAAGTTAACATGCTTGTGGATAATTAACATGGTTAAAAGAGTGGTTTTATAAATGACAAAAGGTTTTGTTTCCAGGGTCTAGAATAAACACCATTAATGGGTAATTTCCCTTCTACCTCTCTCTGAGAGGGCCATCCAGCACAAAGTGTACATGAGTAAACAGTAAAGGAATGTGGGGTAAACAGGACTTAACTGGGGAAGCTTTTATTATTCTAATATTTACCCTATGACTTAAAGTTCTAACTAAGAACTGGCTGCCTTGAGCCCGTTCCATTAAAACCTTTCGGCCTTCCAAAAGGTTTGAGACTATAATTTTATAACTTTCCCTAACATTTCCCTAATATTTTGCCAGCCATCCCGAGTGAATCCCAACAACTTTATAGATCAGTTTGGACAGTATTGTCATCTTAACAATATTAAATCTTATAATTCATGAACCCAAGTGTTTTCCCATTTTTGAAGGTCTTAAATTTCTTTCAGCAATGTTTTGTAGTTTTTAGTGTACACATTGTGGTCCCACACATTAAGGTCCCCATACACAATATTGTTGACAAATCTTTCACCTCCTTGGCTAAATGTATTCCTAAGTGTTCAATTCTTTTTTCATGTTATTGCAAATAGACCTGTTTTCTAAGTTTTATTTTATTTTTAATTAACACACAATAATTCTATTTATTTCTGTGGGTAAGTATGATGTTTCAATAGTTGTATACAATGTGCAATGATCAAATCAGGATATTTAGCATATTCATCACCTCAAATATTTATCATTTCCTTGTGATAAGAACACTCAAAATCCTTCATCTAGTTATTTAGAAATGTATTACACAATATTGTTAATTATAGTCATTCTACCGTTCAATAGAACGGCACAATTTATTTCTCCTATTTGACTGTAATTTTGTACTCTTTAACCAGCCTTTCTGCCTCTCTTCTGCTCTCCTTTTTCCCTCTACCCTCCTCAGCCTCTGGTAATCACTATTCTAATCTGTACTTCTATGAGATCAGCCTTTTTTAGATTCCACAGGTGAGTGAGATCATGTGGTATTTGTCTTTTTGTGCCTGGCTTATTTTACTTAGACTTGTTTTCTTAATTTTATTTTTGGATTGTTCATTGCAAGGTAGAACTACAATTGATTTTTGTTGATGATCTTGTAACCTGCAACGCTGAACTAATTTCTAAGTTCTAGTAGTTTTTAGTGGATTCCTTAGAATTTTTACGTTCAGGATCATGCCATCCACAGATAGGGATACTTGTACTTCTTCCTTTATAACTTCAGTGCCTTTCATTGTGTTTTCTTTTAAAATTGCCCTTGCTGGAATCTTTAGTACATTGTTGAAGTGGAGAGAGTAGGCATCCTTGTCTTTTGCCTGATTTTAGGGGAAAAGCTTTTGATCTTTAATTATTTATTGATATTATTATTATTATTATTATTATTCTTAGTGACAGGGTCTCACTCTGTCACCTAGGCTGGAGTGCAGTGGCGCAATCCCTGCTCACTGCAGCCTCGGCCTCCCAGGTTCAAGTGATCCTCCTGCCTCAGCCCCCCAAGTAGCTGGGACTACAGGGATCTGCCACCTTGCTGGCTAGTTTTTGTATTTTTTTGTAGAGACTGGGTTTTGCCATGTTGTCCAGGCTGGTCTCAAATACCTGGGCTCAAGAGATCCACCCGCCTTGGCCTCCCAAAGTGCTAGGATTACAGGCATGAGCCACTATGCCCGGCCTGATCTTTAATAATTAAGTATGGTGTTTCTGTAAATTTTTCATAGATGTTGTTATCAGGTTGAAGAAATTTCCTTCTGTTCCCAGTTTAAGTATTTTTTTTTGTTTTTAATGAAAAGATGTTGGGTTTAATGAAAACCTCTTTATATCCATTGAGATGGTCATGTGGTTTTTGTCTTTTGTGCCCTTAATACAGTGTATTACACTGCTTTTCATATATTTATCCAGCTTTTTATTTTTGGAATAGACACAGTCATGGCGTGGAGTTCTTTTTATATGTGTCTGAATTTGGTTTATTATTTTGTTGAGGATTATTGTGTTTATATTCATAAGGGATATTGGTCTGTAGGTTTCTTTTTTTGTAATGCCATTGTCTGGTTTTGCCATCAGAATATTACTGACCTCAAGGAATAAGTTAGGAAGTATTTCCTTATCTTCCTTCTTTTCAAGGACTTTCTGTAGAGTTTAGCAGTGAAGTTGTCTGGGCCTTGGCTTTTATTTGTGGATAGTGTTTTGATTACTAAGTCAATCTCTTCACTTGTTATATAGGTCTCTTTATCTTACCTATTTCTTACTAAGTCAGATTCAGCAGTTTTTGTTTTTCTAGGAGTTTGTTTTAAGTTAATCTGATTTTTTGCCATACACTTATTTACAGCATTTAAAAAATGAGGTTGGAAGTAATGTTCCCTCTTTCATTTCTTACTCTAGTAATTTGAGTCTTCTATCTTTTTTTTGGTCAATCTGGTTAAGGGTTTGTCAATTTTGTTGATCTTTTGGAAGTAGAATCTTTTGGTTTCATTGATTGCTTTCTATTATTTTTCTATTTTCTATGTCATTTATTTACTTCTTAGTCTTTGTATTATTTCCTCCCTTCCTTATGTTTGCTTTGGGTTTAGTTTTCTTTTTATAGTTAATTAAGATGAAAAGTTAGGTTATTATTTTAGATCTTTCTTGTATTTTAATGTAGTTATTACTACTATAAATTTTCATCAATAAAGAATACTGCTTTCACTGCATCTCGTGTTTTGGCTTATTTAGGGGTGTGTTGTTGAACTTCTACTTTTAAATTACTTTACAAAATATCCTTCTGTTACTGATTTCTAATTTAATTCTATTGTGGTTGGTGAAGATACTTTTTTTCAGTCCTATTTATGGAGACTTGTTTTCTGATCTGACATATGGTCTATCTTTCATGAGAATATTTCATGTGCACTTTAGAAGAATGTGTATTCATCTGTTGTTGGGTTAAGTGTTCTATAATGTCCATTAGGTCCAGTCTTCTTTTTCTTTGTTGATCTCCTGTCTGATTGCTTTATCTATTATTGAAAGTGGGATATTGAGGCAGCCAGAATATGTTATTGAGTTGTTCATTTCTCTCTTCAGTTTTGTCAGTTTTTGCTTCATGTATTTTGGAATCTGTTGGTAGATGAATGTAAGTTTATCATAATTATATTTTTTTGATGGACTGGCAGCTTGAGTGTAAAACGTTATTCTTTGTCTGTTGTACCAATGTTTGTTTTAAAGTCTATTTTGTCTGATATTAGTATAGCCACTCCTACTCTTTTTTGGTTACTGTTTATATGCTATCTCTTTTTCCAGTTTTTGACTTTACACTTATTTGTGCCTTTGAATCTAAAATCATTCTCTTGAAGATAGTGTATAGTTGGACCATACCTTTTTTTGTTTATTTAATTAGTCTCTGCCTTTATTGTAGCGTTCAATGCATTCACATTTAGTGCATTACTCTTCAGGTAGAATTTACATGTGTGTTTTGTTATTTGTCCTCCCTATTTCTTATGTCATTTTTGTTTTTCGTTCTTACATTACTGCCTTTATTTGCCTTAAAGAAATATTTTCCAGTATGTCATTTCAATTTGCTTGTTATTTCTTTTACTATATATTTTTGATTTTTTAAGTTCATTCTATGGTAATTACCATTAATATCTTAATTGATGAGAATCTAGTTCAGATTTATATGAACTTACTGTCAGTAGAATTCAAAAGCTTTGCTTCTTTAATAGCACTGTAACCTTCTTTACGTTGTTAGTGTCGCAAATTACATCTTTTTGCACTGTGTCCATGAACAAAGATTTATAATTATTTTGGTTGTCATGTTTTAAGTCAGATTGAAAAACACAGGAATTGCAAATTTTTTTGTTTTGAGACGGAGTTTCGCTCTTGTTACCCAGGCTGGAGTGCAATGGCGCGATCTTGGCTCACTGCAACCTCTGCCTCCTGGATTCAAGCAATTATCCTGCCCCAGCCTCCTGAGTAGCTGGGACTACAGGCGTGCGCCACCATGCCCAGATAATTTTTGTATTTTTAGTAGAGATGGGGTTTCACCATGTTGATCAGGATGGTCATGATCTCTTGACCTTGTGATCCACCCGCCTTGGCCTCCCAAAGTGCTGGGATTATAGGCATGAGCCACTGTGCCCCGCCAGGAATTGCAAATTTAAAAAAAGCAACAATGATATTTATACTGTTTTTAATATTTACCTATGTAGTTACCTTTACCAGTGTACTTTATTTCATCTTAGGATTTCACGTTACTATCTAGTGCCCTTTCCTTTCAGACCTAAGGACTTCCTTTAGTATTGCTCATAGGGCAGCTGCATCTCTTTCAGTTTTGTTTATCTAATAATGTCCCATCTTCTTCACTTTTGAAGGATAGTTTTACTTCCTCTGTTAGATATATAATTCTTGATTGCAGTTTTTTTCTTTCTGTAACTTGAATATGTCTTCCCACTGCTTTTTGGCCATGACTTCTGAGGCCATGGCCAAAAACTCTTGCAGTTTTGTGTTCTTGTTTGTGAAGAGTTATTTTACTCTTGTTGCTCTTTGGGATTTTCTCCTTGTTTTTGGCTTTCAGTATTTTCCTCATGATGTGCCTGTGTGTATATGCTTCTCATTTTTCCTACTTGGTGTTCGTCTGCTTTTTTGAATGTGTATGTAAACATTTTTTCATCAAATTTGTGATGCTTTCAGCTATAATTTGTTCAAATATCTTCCTCTTTCTCTCTTTGCTTCTCTGGTTCCCATTATATGTATTTTGGTTACTAGATGATTTCTTACTAGTTTCTGAGGCTGTGTTTATATTCTGTGTGTGTGTGTGTGTGTGTGTGTGTGTATGTACAGTCTCTGAAACCTGTGTGTGTGTGTGTATCTATATATATATAGTCTCTGAAACTGCTGAAACTGTGTGTGTGTGTGCATGTGTGTGTGTGTGTATACAGTCTCTGAAACCTGTGTGTGTGTGCATGTGTGTGTGTAGGGGTGTGTGTGTGTGTGTGTGTAAAATTTCTGTTCCTCAGCCTGGATAATCTGAATTAGACTATCTTCAACCTTTCTGATTCTTTTTTTCAATCAGCATAAATCTGCTCTTGAGCCCCACTAATGAATTTTTCCTATCAGTTACTTTATATTTGTAGGGAGCTTGAGGGATTTAGGGGCTGATCAAAGACAGACATATGACTGTGAGGTGGCAGTATCACACACAAGCTTTATTGGGAGATGCGTTGACAGACTTGCATGTTGGAGAAGTCTCTCACAGTAGAAGCCTGTTCAGAGACTATGGCTTTGGAATTGCTACTCTGAAGGGGAGGAGGCCATAGAATTTCCAGAAAGGGAGACTGTACAGGGGACTTGACTTACATGTTTAGGTGATGGCTACTCAGCAGCACCTTGGGAAGTCTCTGGGTCAGAGAACTCTAAAGGGCAACAATGTGTCAAAAGGCAAAATTACAACAAATTTAGTTTAAAGATCTCAGTTGGCCATATTTGTGATTCTAGAATAAGGCAACAGTATTCCACAAAATAGAATACAGTGTTCAAATTAGCTGAGAGCAGAAGAGGCTGAGTTCTTAGAGGAGAAGGGCTGAAGAAGCAAAGAACAAAGTATATTAATTAGTCTATTGTATGTGTAACCAATAAAGTATCTACTCAGTAGCTTAGCCATCATTGGATAAAGATTTCCTTAAATGCCTGGGCCCAATAAATGACATAGTCTTTAACAAAAGAATCTGTATACATCTTGGAGCAGAGGAAACTTAGCCAGGCAGTTTACAACCTTAGCCTTCACCTCCTGATTGCAAAAAGCCTAAAAGTCAGTTAGAAGTGAGAGTTGCCAGTGAGGTGGCACTTGCCTATAATCCCAGCACTTTGGGAGGCCTCGGTGGTGGATGGCGAGTCAAGAGATGGAGACCATCTCTTGAAAATACAAAAATTTCTCATGCTGGGCATGGTGTTGTGTGCCTGTAGTCCCAGCTACTGGGAGGCTGAGGCAGGAGAATGGCTTGGACCCGGGACGTGGAGGCTGCAGTGAGCCGAGATCAAGCCACTACACTCCAGCCTGGGCTACAGAGCGAGACTCTGTCTCAAAAAAAAAAAAAAAAGAAGTGAGAGTTTATGGTCTTCTCAGGTCTTTCCTGAGTTTGCACACAGCCCTATCTATACATACAGGTGGCCTTCTATATTCCCTAGAAGATGTTGTAACTTTTCAAATCCCCTATTGATAGCTTAATTCCTCAGCTTTTCCTTTCATTCTTTTTATTTAGTCTATTGTTTTCTTCAAGTGTTATCATTTGTGGAGGGGCTTTTAGTATGGGTTTTGCACTGAATCAAACATAAACCTTTTAAGTAGTGTCTTCTGGGGAAGTTACAGACAGGACAAATAATGACAGTTCTTTAGAACTGAAGCTTTGGGAGCCAGCTAAGGTAGTTCTTTGACAGCACAGAAATGTAGGGGGAAATGAGCAGCTCCTGGCTGAAATGCCACAGACTCTCCTTGCTCTTACTTAGTTCTGAGGATTTTGTTGCCCTTTAATCAATCTCCAGAGACTTTAGGTGATTGACTTTGCTGGTTTTGACCAGTTTTATTAGATGTCTCTTTTGGGGAGGAGATTTCACTGAGCTCCTCACATTGCCATCCCAGAATTCCCATACTTCTTTTGGTGTTGGATCTAAAACCTCATTGCTAAGCCTAAGGTCATGCAAGTTTTCTGTTTTCTTCTAGAAGATTTATAATTTTCTGTTTTATATTTAGGTTTGTGATCCATTTTGAATTAATTCTCATGTGAAGGGTGAGGTTTGTGTCATAATTAATTTATTTTGCACATGGATTCCAATTGTTTCAGCAGCATTTTTTTTTTTTGGCAAAGATTGTCCTCCATTGGATTATTTTTATTCCTATGTAAAAAGAATCAGTTGACTAAATGAAATAACTTGATTAAAAAATAGGCAAAAGACCTCAATCAAGACACCTCACCAAAGAAAAACCGATAAGCATGTGAAAAGATGCTCAACAGCACATGTTATTAGGAAATTGTAAGTTAAAAAAGATACCACTACACATTTATTAGAATGTTCCAAATCCAAAACACTAACAACATCAAATACTTGTGGAAGGTGAAGCAACAGGAGCTCTCCTTCATTGCTGGTGGGAATACAAAATGGTATAGCCAATTTGGAAAATATTTTGACAGTTTCTTACAAAACTAAATATACTCTTACCATATGATCCAGCAATTGTGCTCCTTGGTATTTACTTAAATGGGGTGAAAACTTACGTCTACACAAAAACCTGCACATGAATGTTTATGGTAGATTTATTCATAATTGCCAAAATTTGGAAACAATCAAAATGTCCTTTAGTAGGTGAATGGATAAACTGTAGTATGTCCAGATGATGGAGCTTAGTGCTACAAAAGGGCTATGAAAAGCTTTTTCAAGCAATGAAAAGATATGGAGGAATCATATGTGCATATTACTGAGTTTTAAAATAAGCCAATCTGAAAAGGCTGCATACCCCAGCTACTCGGAGGC